ATTGTGAAGGTGGTGCGGCATAGATGTTGGAGCATAGCACAAAATAATGCGTCTTGTAGCCACTGCCCTTGGCTGACAACATAGCCCCGTGAGAGGAGCGCATTCGAGATGCCCGCATTCTGGGGAGATTTGGTAATAGGCAACGTTAACTCGCGGTCATTGTGTCCCAATTACATTGCTTCCGTGTCCTGTACAGCAGCCGTTAAATAAATTACTATTTTGCCCAGTTATAGTTCGGTAATCACCAATCCGTGACCAGTAGGTGGCAGTGGGCAATTATTAACATTGTTTATACCGTGATAGGTGACCCAAACATGTTACCCAAGTACCTAACCGACTGCTATTTCATGTAATAGTCTATATATCCCACGATCAGGTGATTTTAATTCAATCAACAAGGTTCTGTACTGTTAAAGCTGCAGGCAGGGATTGGAGTGGGCTGGTATAAGTAATTATATTAATGATAGGAATGGAAACATTTTGATCCCTCGCAACTTAATCACAGCAGCCTAAATCCCTCGGAACTTAATCACAGCAGCCTAATCACTTGTTGTGATCGTGAAAGAGGTGGGATCCGATCCAAGAATACATTTGCTCGTCAACATTGTGGTGAATGCTGACGCCTCATGTGATTGGAAGGGTCCTGTAATCGCCATTGCCTGCATTAAATACAATTAGAAAAGCGCCCGTTCTTACGCATGAGAATCGTTGCGTGTAGCATGAGTCTCGGAATCGGTGTATCGTTACACCTTGAATGCCTAGGTAACATTTTCAGTACATTGAGTGCACGTGGGTTTGGTAAAGGCATAATGTGTATGATGCACTCTGTCACATGCTTGAATTTCGAGTCACTATATATTATACCTAAGATGCCCACGGTCAAATTGTTTTCCTAACATTCAGTTTGTCTCCACATTTGGGGTGCAGTGTGAACGGAGTGGAGAAGCAAAATGAGATTCTGCGACAGAAGTACACGGAGTTTGTGGCCAAGCACCGCAAGGAACAGAACTGCAGAGTGGAGTAAACTTTCTGCGCTCCAGCCCCAAGTCGAGCCAAGCGACCACCACTCTACGTGCCGCCACGGCACATCCCGTCGCTCTTTCTTTCACGGTGTTCCTTCCCTGTGAACATTTTATACCCTCTGGACGTTGAAGCGCTGCAGGATTATAATGCTGCTGGGTACTGAAGATGAAACTGGAGGCATTTGCGTGTTCTGCTCGCAAATTGTACGGCTTTTTACAGTGCGGTCTCGGTGTTTGAAGTGTGACTTTCCATCCACGCCTGCATCACTCGAGTCAGTCGGATGGCACACTCACGGTGGGTCTCGAATATCTGGGGAAAAGACAGGTGCTGCCAATCGTACATTTAACGCTGAACGCCCAACAGTTGCCTCCTGAATACTCGCTCTTCTCTCGTTACTCCCATGGTAACCGCTCCCACGGATGCACTTCACTCATGGGTTTTTCTGCCCAAATTGAGGACTCGGTTTAACCAAACTGACTGCTTCATCCATGCTGTGTTCAACCACCATATTGAAAGTCTCAATAGTTATGTTTGTGCTTCAGTCCTGTACACTGCTCCTCTTTGAAATGCCATGCTATCGTCTCTTTTCCCAAGCTCTTATGATAACCTTGCTCAATTCAAGAAACGTGTTACGCTCTTATGTATTACACCTCCAATAATGATATCCGTTGCTCGACGCTTGCCATTTTGGGCCGTGGTAGGGCCTGTACTCAGAAACCTGATGAAAGAAAAAACGCCGCGTAAGTCCTATCCAAAAACACGTTTTGGTAGCGCACGGACACGCGACGTAATATTTCGTAAAAACGGGCAAGCGCAGCGCACACGTTCGTTTCTGTTACAAATGTCAACACCGCCCCAGTCGCTATGTCCATTCCTCAACGGCACGGCCAGCAATGGGCGGCGAGACTACGCCATTGCAACACCCGGTATCACGTGTCCTCGTGGCTTTTGTGAAGATTTTTTTTCGGTTTCATACAGCCCGGCAGAGTGAACTCTTGCACAGCGTTATCACGCGAGATGGCGAATGGCCTTGTGGCCACACTGCGGTAGACAGAGCCGTTGCATCTGAAACGTGACTAGTGTCTGGGCAGATCGCGCGGTTCTTTTGTGTCGAGCAGAATGCTGTCTGCACCTTGATTTAAGCAGGAATTGCCAGATCCCAGAGAGTGCTTATTGAACCCAACGAAGTTTGTATTGTAACTCGACTCGGTGAAAAGGCTTCAAGATTTTATTTAAAACCAGGAAAAAGCTTGTCATCAATAAGTGAGACCTATAAACTGCAGCAGATTAATCGGCGCCATCGTCGGTGGCAAAACATTCGCCTGGGAATTGATCTAAATAACTCGGGCTCTGTTTTAAAAGATGGTTAAAGGGATACTCAGGTACCACCGCCTGACTTGCCTTTAACCAAATACACAACCGCGATAATCTACACAACTTTAGATGTTTAGTCTAGACTCGCACTCACCTCCATGGCGGGAGCAGTGAAAGCAACATAGAGCGTTGAACGCCTCTCGCTGAGAGAAGCGGACTTGAAAGGACACTTGGGCACATCCAAGTGGAGCTGCGGTTACTGTATATTGCGCCGTAACTCTAGAAAATAGACAACAGCGGCATTTAATTGTCCTTTTTTTAACTGATCGCTATGCAATAGAAGAGACATTTCTGCCCCAGGGTTAACGACGGCTGGGTAATCTTACACTGGCTGCGGTATACTGTAAGCTACACTGTATCATAGTTTTACCAAAGCAAGAACCAGGGTTTGTTCAACTTTTTTTTCTGGCAGGCCACATAATTCAAATGGCATGTGCTGGCAGGCCACGTGTCCAGATTGTACGATGGCACTTGGCATTGAGAACACTAATATGTACCTCTTGGCTCCATTTCTCTATAATTTACAGCTCTCTGATCTATTATCATTCTTTCAGCTCACTGATCAGTGTCTCAATGTCTCAGTCACCGTCGTATCTCCTGATAGGCCATACCTCAGTGGGCCACTCTTAAGATCCTTTGCCGGGTGCATCTGGCTCACGGGCCACCATTTGAAGAACCCTGGCATGAATGTAGGCGTTATCGCTAAAGTTATATCAAACTTCACGTTGCCTTAATGAGTAAAATAAAACTTTCACCCTTTAACAATAAAAACCAGCTCGCCAGCTATTCCTGAATGACACCATATAATGTGGATTTTTTATTGATATTAACTTTGAACCGCAGATTTCCACAAGCATTTTATTTGGTGGTTAATGGGTCCTTTCGAAAGCCACGTGAGCATGTATTGCTTAGGGGGAGGGAGGGGATGCATGTTAAGTTTTAAACTTGTTTTTTAAAGGAAAGCCAAAAGCTTCGTTGCACTATGCCCTTCACGTAATGTTATTTAAAGTGTTTCATTTAGACGTTTGTTTGGCTGTGTCATCGTAACCACCATTGTCAGAAGCGACATTTGAGAATTGATCGTTGACTCGCAGACCTCGTTCGCCTTGTTTGGTGTACGCGGTGTTTCGGTGTACGTGTGTATATATACAGTATATAAAATGCATTCTATATGATGGAAAATATAAAAATCCAGGCAATATGCACGACGATATGGAGTATGTTGATTTTTCCATGATGCTGCGTGTGGCCCCGTCCACCAAAAGGAGGATAAACTTCTTGTGCCGAGTCGCTTTCAAGCAATCACCGCAACACCTCCAACCCTCAATCACCGAGCCTCAAGATTGACTTAATTATTTGTGATTTATGCAAATTATCAGCAAATGTTATCTTCAGGCTAATGAAACAAAGACTGGATTCTTGGACTCGAATCTTGCACCCTTGATCGAGAAATATTCTACATTGTAGCATGAATGAGTCGTGTCTCTGGGTGCCTTTGAAGACCAGCACAGCGCACGAACGGGTGGTGTGGACAGTGCTGCTGCTGATATTTCACGTTCACGCATCACCAGATTCTCATTTAAGGGCGAGTCTATCTCGGGCTGATCTATAACTGGACATCTGGATATCTGTAAAAAAACTTTGTAGATCATCGGATTACTCCAGCATAAATTAATATTGTGATTCTGATAACCAATAAAGACACCTAACCGCCACTAGTGTGGCCTGAAGTTGAACTTCGCTTCCCGATATTCTCCCGCAGTGTGCAGACCCCACTGCACCACCCTTCATTTCACCAACAACAACAAAGATGCCATATTAATGGAGCGTACACTTTTCTTTCGGGATTACATGCAACGTGTATTGAGCGTTGTACACGCGGCAGCGCGCAGCCGCACGTGCTAATCGCGCTAACCGCCGAGCAGAACGTTCATCATCATCAGCAACACTCCTTCCAGCTCCCTCGCACCACGAGCTCATCTCGTCGACGCACGGCGTTCTTTCGTGGCGTGATAACATTTGCATTACTTTCAAAGTTATTTCTGTTCATGGTATATTGGGCCAGCTTTGCTGGAGTTGCGTGGAGCCCCGCTTCAGACTGGCAGAGACAAGAGAGCGAAAACAAACCATTTCAACCTTTTTTTTTGGTGCGAAACAGACACAGCTTCAGCTTCTCTCGCATCACGGGGTGGGGATAGAGCACGTTTAGGGGACCACAATAGGACGGTAACCGATTCACCACTCAGGAGAGAGTGAACTTGGGTGGTGCCAAAGGGGTGGGCTGGGGCATTTGGTGGTGCACACACCACCCCAGCACACGCATAGCTCCGGTCATTGTCGGTAAGCGTTACCAGATAGAAAGGCAACGCACCGCTTTTGAGCGGAAACATTCCCTCCACGCTACCCGCTGCCACGTCCACTTGAACCGTCCCAGACATTTCACCAGCTGCCGTGGGGAGAGGGGAGAGGGCGGGGGGGGGGTAAAGCAGCGCGCCGCGTGATGTGCAGGTGGCAAGTGGTGGCGGGCAGCCGGGAGCTGACTAGTAACCGGGGAGATAAAATTAGGGGGGCCGGGGTTGGGCAAGCCAAGCTGCCACGAGGCAACGTTGCCACCCACTCACTCGGCCGGCCGGCCACCCACCCATCCACCCACTCGCGCGCACACGCACGCACTCACTGCCACTCCACTCTCTGCGTGCGCGCACGCGCGCTGTTAAGTTCGAGCCAGCGCAGTCTTCGTCTTCTTCCAGAGCCAGCCCCGTGGGCTGCCGAGTCTCAGCTGGGTAGCCGTGGCTCTGTGTGTGCGAGCGCGTGGTAAAAAAAATTGTTGAACGCGTAATTCACGTGCTTGGCGCACGTGCCGCCGGGTCGATTGCGTTCTATTTCACGAGCCTCTAGATAGACACATTCACGGATCCACGAACGGCTATACTGATTTACGCGTGTACAACACGGACATCCAACGCGGCGTCGTAGTAGCAACCCGCAGGCTACACTACAAAGTTGCGAGCGCGGATGGGAGCCATGAGCGAACCTCAACTCCCCCCGGCACGAACTTGTCGATAAACAACCCGGCAGAGGATAAGACGTCGCATCCAGACGAACAGAGGAGCGACAACTCGTGACAACAACAACAATAACAACTACAGCAGCAGCAGCAGCACAACTGCTCCAGTTGGAGTCGCGCGGTTGATTGTCGATGAAGGTGAATCTGCGATGAGACCGGTGAAGAGACACTGACGATAAAGAAGACACGACCGATCTCCAGTACTCCACCGGGTCCACGGTGTGGTCTGCTTAGTCATCTCATTGCTGCTGCTGCTGCTGCTACGGTGGTGGTTGGAACGATCTAGCCGCGCGTGCGTTCGGCTCCATGGCGAGGCGCGTGTGGAGGTGGTGGTTGTTGTTGTTGACGTTCGCGTTGGTGATGACGAGGGCGCTGTTGGAGGAGGACTTGGCCCAAGAGGAGGACGAGGTGAGGATGATTTTGCTGTATTCGCGACGTCGGCCGTAATTGTCGCGCGAAGCCTTCCAAAGGCGATCGAATTCCACAGTCGATGATGGGCAGGTCGGGCAAAGCGCGGATAGTCCCACGGTTTCACAGACGTCTCGTCAGCGTGGAAGAGTAGGCCAAATACCCTTCCAGAGGGGGGCTTTCTGTTTGGAGGATATTCCGACAGCAATGGTGTGTGCAAGCAATTGTAGGTGGATGCGTCAATTGTCAGTTGCCGGAACGAATGCCTTCGTGGTGATGTTATCCGTGGCAGATAATCGATAACTCAGCCGGGTTCAATGCGCCAGGCATCTCTCTAAAGTCTAAATAGTCGACGAGGAATGCGTGGTGGGGACCCGCCGATTCGTGAATCCCCCAGCACACAACACTGCCCTGCGAGGTTCTACGAGCAGGGCATGAATCTGTCTGTGCGGAGCTTTGAGTGATATCCCCTCCTGGTTCACCTCTCGCACGGAAGCTCAACTCACTCTCGTTTGATGGGATTGCTCACACTTTCCCAATACTGCATGGGCCCGACTAAAGTTGAACGCGTTAATCGGTTGTCTCTGAGACGTAATTGTTATTTTAGGATGGGCCACAATGAGCAGCTCCGTACGTCTGTCCGTCTGTAGCGGGGTCGGTGGGACTCGGTGGGGGGGAGGGGGCTATATCGTGAAACTGATCGAATATTCACCAAACATTACTGCAGAGTTGTACGCTATTAGGAACGGACTCTATTGTAAAATGGACAAATAAATCAAAGGGTAGCCCACGTTGTCTCAGATGGAACGCATCGCAGAAAGGACTAATTAAAAATATCCAAACGCCTTTGGCCCTGACAGCTACCTATACCTGTCGATTTCCGTAATTGCTCGTTCGATACTTTCAAAACAAAACGTGTTATGGAAAACGTTACATATAGTCCACGTGCACACATGATCATTTTCTTAACTCATCACGAACGGCGCTTCATACTCGTGTCGGGGATCATCAAGAGGAACGGCGAGACCCGTCCCCTGATGGATGAAATACTCCCCCAAAGCCATCGCCGTCTTTCACGATCCTGCGACCCGCAAATCTCGCGCGAGCAGATTCCATCGCTCCGTCTCCTCGATAGGTAGTGCCGGATGATCCAAGTATCAAAAGTAGCTACACGTGCTACGTGCCCTTCACTTTCAATTGCCCCGTGCTAAATGCTTTCAAGCTACTGTATCAATTCCGGTTCAGTGATTCTGCACTTGCTCTATTGCTATAGTACTATACCGCCTTCAACTTGTATGAACTACCGGGTGTTTAAGGTTAGCGATTTGTCGTATGATCTGGCTGTATAGCAAATGAAAAAACACAATTACTTTACTATACAAGTTAAAACATTGTGTGTGTTTAATGTGCTGTGTTTTTTAATGTAGGGCCCCTTTATAACAAATGCTACAGGCCCCGCACCAGATTAATCCGGCACTGTCTACGGGACATCATCTCGGGCGCGTTCCATCCCTTGGCCGCCACTCCGTCGTCTCACACCATGCTTGACCATCGGCCACGATCAGGCCCTTCGCGTTCTGCCCGAGCCGCGCTTTTCGTTGCAGTTGGAACGATGCAAAGTCGCCTTGCGTGCGTTATCGAATCCACTCGTTTTGTCATTTAGGGACGCGGGCTTTGGAATTTCAGATTTAGTACGAATTTCAGGTGTTTGGTGGCGGGGGTTGGGGGGGCTGGGCGGAAAAAAAAATTGGAGGATAAAAAAAACCACGCATACAGGAGGACAGATACAATGACTTCGCCGCATAGCCTCAACAAGACTGTTGGGGAAAGTGGTGTTTTAGCGAGCACCTATGAAGACCAGCACGGTTACACGAGGGGGTGGGTGGCCAGCACCACGCCCGACCGCCAGGGCACTCATTTTAGGCTGAGTCGATCTAGGGGGAGGCCCATGACCGGTTCAAATAATCGTCGCCGGTGTTGGCCGTGAGCGGGAATCGAACTCGGGTCGCCAGGTTCGTAGCGCGGCGTAGCGCTAACCACTGCGCCACCGCTCCCCCCCTCAACACCTAAATCTGAGTCGGTAAATGAATGAACAAGGGGTGGTTCTTTTTCTGATGTGAAGATGATTAACGCCCGGATGACCCGGTGAGGCACGCCGGCTCTCCGTGACCGAGTGACCGATTGACCCCGAACCATGTGTCGCTGTGACCCCCCTCTCATCCCCCCCCCACCCCGCTCCGTGTGTGACGTACGACACGACAGGCACGGCCGTTCATGGGCATGGATGCGCCACCTATGGGCCACGGTGAGGTCACACAGAGCACGCCGCTCACAAACTCCGGTCTTCATATTCTTAGGTTTTTTCGGTAAAGTCACGTAGGTAAAAAATTTAAATTAATAAAAGTAAAATAAAAAATAAATAAAAAAATCACGACGTTTCGGAGGCAACACAAGCTTCCGTCTTCAGGTGGAACCGTCACAGCACGATAGCTGTATCAAGTGAGAGAAATTCCAAGAAACAGTATTTGTATATATATTGGCCGCGTGCGAACACGACAACGGGTTCAGTCCATCAGCCGAGTGGATTTCCAGCAATTCGTACGACCACGTTGCGAGACGTTACTGGGAGTCCCACCACAAGGGAACATCGACTTTGGGGGGGGGGGGGGGGCTTGTCCGCCAACCCCCCCCCACCCCAACTTTTTTTGAGGAGTGGCGACTTGAATAGGCACTTGCTACAAAGACATGTCCCAGCAGTCTACGTCGGCTATATGGGAATATTCTTCTTGTCTGTGTAAATGTCCGCTGTATACGTGGCAGTACTTATTAGCTGTGTAACTGGAGACCCTTGCAAACGATGTTTTCCATTTCAAGGGGTTATGCAGGCGTTTATATTAATCAAATACAAATAATATCTGCACGTCTATATGCACAGTAGTGGAAATGTGTGTATTTGTGTTTGTATATTTATTAAGGAGCCGGAGGTGCAGTAGTTAGTGCACTGTGCTGACCTCAGATTTACAACCACTGCAAACATTTATATACAGTATGTGTCGATGAATCTTGTATGTATATATGCATGTCTTTCTTTGCGTGCTTACGTCTATATGTGTCAGTGTGTCTTTGTTGGCTGTGCAACTGTGTATAATATAAACTATATGTACGTATGTCTGTGCGTGTTTTTATGTCTATATATGTTTGTGTATGTGTCTGGACATGGTCCCATTGGTGAGATCTTCTGGCAGGTGAGGCTGCGTTGGCTGTGGGTCATGTGGCCCGCATATCCTCGCCAACGCATGCCGAAGCAGCTTCTGTTTGGCAGGGAAGAGGGGGCTGAATGGGTAACAGCACGGGCGACACAGAGAGGACGGGCCGATGTGGTGCAGAAGCATTCAGAGCTTATCGGACTTGCCAATGGCACCAATGGTGTGGAGGAGGCGCGTGAAAGATGTTCCAAGGACATTAGAGGCGACCGCCCTTCAAATGAGGATAGCGTTACACGTGCATTCTCCAGTCATCTCAGTGAGCCCATAACACCTGGGTCTGTCCCGTGACCTACCAGCAAGCCTCTGACACTTCACGTGGCCTCTTAAGTGCACCCCAGACTGGCACAAAGCCTGCAGTCACATCAGTGTCACTTTGTGGCAAATGGCGGCTGTTGTTGCTGCTTCTACGTGTGTTTATGTCTACATGTATACAACTATGGATATGTGTCTATGCATTTTCAGGTATGTCTGTGTGCGTGTGTGTGTTTACGGGGTTTAATGTAAAGGATAAGCAATGGAGAGACAAAGGCGGCCAGGCACGGTGTTGGCCACTCGCCCCCTCGTGTGTGCGTGTGTGTGTTTACGGGGTTTAATGTAAAGGATAAGCAATGGAGAGACAAAGGCGGCCAGGCACGGTGTTGGCCACTCGCCCCCTCGTGTGTGCGTGTGTGTGTTTACGGGGTTTAATGTAAAGGATAAGCAATGGAGAGACAAAGGCGGCCAGGCACGGTGTTGGCCACTCGCCCCCTCGTGTGTGTGTGTGTCCAGGGCCAGATGAAGTTTTATGAGGCCCCGCGGCTGTTGTATTTTCTCAAGGCTCCCCCTGTACATTCAGTTCCTTCCCTCGACCCTTTCACAAGCGTCCATGCCCAAAGCCAAAGGCTCATCATTATTATTCACCTTGCTTGTTTCGGTTCTAGTTGGGTTTTTTTTTCTCTCTCTTTAAATGTGCTGCACGAATTTGTCCGGATAAATCGAAGTTGAAACAAACTTAACGACTTTAATCTTGGCACGTGACCGATAGTCATACGCAAAAGGGATGCTATGGCTTGATTACTAAATTAGCTACGAGGGTTGTTTTCGTGCTGCTGCACAGTATTGCGTAATGGTCAGCACACCGGACTTGCAGTCCAGAGGTCACCGGTTCGATTCACGTACCTGGTGTGGTGTGCAAACATCGGCACTGGGGGAGCCAGAGGCGGCTGAGCGTGGTGCGGGTCACCCACCCCCTCATGAGCCCTGCCGGCCCTCACTGGTGCTCGCTAACAGAACTTGCCTTATTAGTGTGATGTACATATGTAGAACGTCTCTGGCACCGTACACAGCCAACCACGCTAATCGGATGAAGGACAACAAACTAAACACAAAAAGCAGTTCTCAAGGAATGTGTTTTCAATCTTAATTTAAAAGTGCACACCTACAGTGACTTCCTAATATCTGAAGAGCTTTCCAGACGGTCGCAGAAGCGCATCTGAAAGCGCGCGATGCAGTGACCATCTTTGTTTGATGGCCAGCAGCCAAAAGCCGCTGCGAGGGTGACCGGAGTTCGCGTGATGGTTGATGCTCCCTGATGAGATCAGCAAGTTATTGTAGTTCATTTGTGGCAAGCATGAGAAAAGGGGAAACCCTATTCTCATATTTTGGAACTGGCAAAGGAGGTCCCATGATGTAGCTGCTCACCCATTACTCTGATAGTGCATTCTGTTTGTGCTGTACGCCTTTTGGCGTCCTCTGGTCTAGCACCGTTTGAGACGAGGCTCGAAAGAAAGCTGTCTCTGGTGTGGACCAATCGGTTTCAAAGACAATGCAGATATCAGAATATGTTTTTTGTTTGTTTGCATTCTGACCACAAGTATTGTGGTTAATGCAGACACTATTCCTTGTTAAAGGTTTCATTTTGGTGTTTTAACATCTTAACACCTGTTTTGTTGCCAGAAAAAAGGGGAAAAACCTATTCTCATATTTTGGTACTGGCAAAGGAGGTCCCGTGTTGTGGCAAGCACTTTGTGTGTAATAAGTGCGACATTATAAAAGGCTGGGTGGTAGTGGTGGTGGCTATGCATGCCTGTAATCCACCACCCTGGAGACAAGGGTTGGTGGATGGCACACATTTTCTAAAACTCCATTCCAATGGGCGCCGAGGAGCAATACCCTGACTTGCCAGGAGAAGGCGAGACAGCAATTGTAGACTCCACCTGTTCCGCCTCGATGAGATTGAGTGTTTTCCCCTCTCACACGCGTGGGTTTTCCACGCACGTGGGTTTTCTCTGGCCACTCCTCTCCCATGTCTTAACACTCACTAATTCGCAGATAACACCTTAATATACACGGAGGAATGCAGAGCTTGGGCAATTGTTGGTGCCGGCTTGCCGCGTCGCTGCCTTCCCGCTATGTCTGTGGCTCCTTGCGCCTCCGAGTCGTTCTGTCTTTACGAAAGCAAGCGGGATACTGCGAGGCGGCTCGTCACAAGTTGAAACAATACAATTTTTTTATTATTCCGATTTAAAGCTTTCGTGACTGCAGGGATTCATCTTCTTAATTCTTTCGGTAAAGTTACGTAGAAGGAAGGGGCAAGATTGCCTCGTGTAAAAATAATAAAAAATAATATTATTTTCCTTCTACGTGACTTTACCGAAAGAACCAAGAAGATTTTTATTATTCTTACACGAGGCAAACTTGCCCCTTGCGCGTGTGCGCGCCTAGCCGTGCCGTTCGCCGAGGTGTGGGCGCACAGCTACTGCCGCGCGCTTGAGGTGCTGGTGGAGGTGTCGCGCGAGTACCCGGGCGCCTTCCCCTTCGTCGTGCGGCCCGCCTGCGTCCCGCTCTTCCGCTGCGGCGGCTGCTGCTCCGACGAGGGCCTGCAATGCGCGCCCACGGCCACCTACAACGCCAGCATGCAGGTGTGACCATCGGTATAGGCGCCGCCGGTGGCGAAATGTTAACTACCTCGCCTGGTGTGCAGGAGGTCGTGGGTTCGATCCCGACCCTGAAGCCTGTTGTATATTGGGAGTTTGCGTGTTCTCTCTCTCTCTCTCACCGTGATCGTGCGGATTTTTCTGCTGGTCCGCCGATTTTTCTCCTCCACGTTTAGAATCAACATGTGTTTAGAGTATTTGGCTGCGATCATGAGCCACTTCGTTGAGCTATCATTTGTGGCCAGGTCGCTTCTGAAAAAGAGCCATATAGCTCAGTTGGCCTTAACTGGTAAAATAAAATAAAAAAGTTTCGTTTTTAGTTTCATATCAGCAGCGGCATCGTCAGTAGCAGCATCCGGGGCGCCTTTTCCCTGAGAGGGCAGCGGAATTGTTGTGAACGAAGCAAGCAGTGAGACGAGGATGGCAGCAAGGGTAGCAACAGCATCATCATCATCAGCAGCAGTAGCAGCAGCAGAAGCAACGTCATCAGTACCAGAAGTAGTGTCCGCAGCAACATTATCGTAATCAGTACCAGCAGCAGCAACACCGCCACCACAACCACAACATACATCATGATCAAAACAGCACCACTGTCGTCATCATCATCATTATCGATACCACCACCGTTAACCTCATTGTCATTAGACAGTCAAAACCCCGCTCATCCCGTCTCCTGCCATATCCCTCTGCTGCTGCTCGTTAATTAAGCAGAGTCATCCATGTGTTTTTTTTCTTTCTCTATGTGACATGCAGATCCTGACCATCAGACCGTTCCACAAGCCGGAGATGCAGGAGATGTCCTTCCTTCAGCACGGCGCGTGCGAGTGCAGGTGAGGAGGACCGCTCACCTGATGTGAGTGCACAGAGGCTGTCAGGGTTCGTCAGTTGGCAAGACATAGGAAGATCTTTCTCCATCATCATCATTATCAAACACTTCATTAGTTGAGAAGGCAACTGGGTGCATAGTGGAGCATCCTCCATAATCATTATAATCATCATACGCAGTCATAGTCTATCCACTGCTACGTGAAGGCCTCCCTATGCCACCACGCACCCTTATGGTCCTACACTGCCTGCCATGATCCATTCTCACTCATGGTACATTAACTGATCTCACCACTCCATCTCCGCGCTGGTCGGACTCTCAGGAAGGCTCTATCCTTTGGCTGCCAATCCTTTACTAGTCTCGTCAATTGGCCATCGTCTCTTTTAGCCACGATGCTTTATGGGCAGCTGTAAATCATTGATTGTTGCAGGCAACCAATGTTGTTGAGAAGTACGTGTGTGTGTGCTTACCGTGTTTGGGGAGCGGTAGTGTAGTGGTTAGCGCTACGCTGTGCTACGAACTCGGCGAGTTCGATTCCCGCTCACAGCCAACACCAGTGACGATTATCTGAACCAGTCCTGGGCCTCCCCTAGGCCGACTCAGCCTCAAAGGAGTACCTAGTGTGGTGCGTAAGCATCGCCACTGGGGAGACAAAGGCGGCCAGGAGTGGTGCTGGCCACCCACCCCCCTCGTGTGCCGTGGCGGCATTCATAGGTGCTCGCTAACATCACTTGCCCCAAAAAGTCCATTAAAGCTATCCTGGGAATCTTTGTCTTTGTGCTCACCGTGTGAGTGCAGAACGCGGAGGAACGGACAACGAAGGGGACGAAATAGGGGACAAGGTAAAGGACGCAGGAAGCAGCGAGGCAGGTGAGATGAATGCTCAGTAGGTTTCTAATTGACCCATTTATATAGCTAGAGAGATGATTTGGTGATGCTGTGTTGGCCAGTGGTGCACGGGCACAAATAACAACAACAAACTCAACACATTCGTCAGTAACTCTGCGGCTCTGAAAGGGAAAATATATAACAGGTGACATTACGGGCAGATTGCCCTTCTACAAAGAGCAGATATATAGAGATACCAGAGAGCGGATGTAGAGAGTGAACGAGAGTTGTACACTGCACTTTACACCATAATATATCTTTGGATGTATTAGAAACTTATTGTGTTTATCAGCCTTGCCTGTCAGTCAGTCACAGCACTTGAGTACCGTTTGTGATGCAGAATCAAAGAAGGACTAATTTTGACTGGAACCAACAGGGGGTGTGCGGTATTCACGAGGACCAGGGTTGCGATTTCCGCATGGAAAATGCGGAAGGAGGGTTCAAATTTTCCCGCATTTTTGCTAAAGTCAACCGCAAACGGTGGAAAGACTACTCCTATGACCGCGCGCTTTTAACAACACGTTAATGCGTTCTATTGGAAAGGATACATCATGTACATGTGCTCGTAATCACGGCTCCGCATTTGAATAAAGTATGTGGTTCTTGTGCGGAAATGCGGAAATCATATATTCATTCCAATCAGTAACTCAAAGCCCTACGTGATGCTGGGCCTTGCATGTATCCTTTCCAATAGAACGCATTAACGTGTTGTTAAAAGCGCGCGGTCATAGGAGTAGTCTTTCCACCGTTTGCGGTTGACTTTAGCAAAAATGCGGGAAAATTTGAACCCTCCTTCCGCATTTTCCATGCGGAAATCGCAACCCTGACGAGGACCTACGTACAGCGACCGCCAAGGTTATCCATCGCATGAAGTGAAAGGGGCCGAGCCCATGGAGCCGCGTGGTTCTTGCAGCACCGGGGCTCGAAATAGGCCATGCCGGGCCTACCTTGGTACAGCCCGACACGACTCTGGTCTCCTTGGCAGTTGTCGTGGGAACGCAGCACCTTCGCTGCGTTCCGAGGCCTTCTCAAGGCTGCACTCTCAGGCTTTCTGCGATCAAAAACAAAGCGAGTCGCGATCATTGTCGTCGTGGTTGTGATGAGGATCCCACTTTGTTGCGCTTGCTCCGCAGGGGTTGCTCATCCTGCTCGGGGTCGCGGTGTCTCCCGGAGACGGGGCGGCGAGCCTGCAGGTGAGACCCTGGTAGACCAAACGAAACACTTGTTTCGTGTTTGAAAATGTCAACTATTTTTATTTCACCAGGTAAGGCCCACTGAGGCTTTGTTGCTCTTTTTCAGAAGCGACCTGGCCACGAGTGATAGCTCAACGAAGTGGCTTCTCGTGTGGAAATGTATAGCAGCCAAATACTCTTAAACGCGTGTTGTTGATTCTAAATGTGGAGGGGAAACACCGTAGGGCCCGGAGAAAAGTCCACATGACCACGGGTAGAGAGAGACACACGCAAACTACAAATATACAGCAGGCATCAGGGTCGGGATCGAACCCACGACGTCCTGTATACCAGGCGAGGTAGTTAACATCTTTCCACCATGGCGCCAGGGCCACCACGAGACCCCTTAATCTCAGGGTCCCCTTCGAGACCCCTAATCGTGCCAGCAAGACCGGATTATCACGCAGGGGGCTACAGCACGGGGGGGGGGGGGCTCGGATTTTAAGAAGATCCCCAAATATCCCCCCCGCTCCCCCACCCCTTTTCCCCTTGACTTTTGTTCCTCTTCCCTTGCCTTCCCTGGCCCATGCAAGAACCTCCCGCCGCTCGCAGTCCCTGCTTGAGCGGGGCAGTGAGCACAATCCCCCAGGAGCACCGAGGTCGGACTACGGTCCGCGGAATTTCTGTACCCCCCCCACCCACCCACCCACCCGCTCCCTTCCCTTATCAGCTTCGTGTCTTTTACCACGCTCTTGTCAAATAATAAAAATAAAAGAGTCCCCACATATAAACAGGCTGCTTTAGAACTGTTCAACCCAAACACAGTAAGCACGATGATAAATCATCTTGTTAATTTGGCGATAAAAGCCGTTGAATGCCGACGTGCATTACTTCCAGTAAAGTGGCAATATTAATAATTGTGTTCGATACGACTTCGATTTAGCCCTCCAATTCGTATATCACGTGCAAAAAAATAAAATCGGCAGTTAAATCACCAAGGTGAATACCGATGCGGTGTTCGGCGCCGGGCGTGGGAGGTGGTAAATGTCGAGGGAAGGAATTGGATGCACAAAGAGAGCACCCCAGAATAACCACAGCGGTCCTAGACTGAGTGCCAGGGACCTCAAAGGCCCCATGCAGTGCCACGGGCCAGGTGATGTCTCACCTGTGATACAGTGACGATCTCACCGCATCTCCTGGCGTTGTGACTTAGTGACGGAAGTAATGTCTGGGTGGCGCTGTCGTCACGGACGAGGCCGGACTCCACAGGCGTCCAGTTCAATTCCTGGTCGGCAGAGCAGGGTGGGGATAAGCTCAGCCTCTTTAATGGAATGAGTCGCCACTTTGTGGCAAATCGACACTCGGTGGTCGGTGTATGGATCGACTCGCTCCCTCTATTTACACGTGTTGCCTGTGTGGCTGTGTGAATATGGGAGGCATGAGTGCAGCGATTCACACACTGCGCTACAAACCCAGCCACCTGAGTTCAATTCCCAGCCGTGGCTAATATCATTGACGGGTTATATCTGAACAGGTCCTGGGCCTCCCCTAGGTCGACTCGGCCTCAAATGAGTACCTGGTGCGATGTGTAAACATCACCACTAGGGAGACAAAGGCGGCCGGGCGTGGTGTTGGCTACCCACCCTCTCGTGTGCCGTGCCGGCTTTTATAGGTGCTCACTAACAGCACTTGCGCCTACAGTCTGTTAAGGCTACACGGGGGATCTTTGTCTTTTGTGTGTGTGTGTACCGTGACTCGCTGTGTGCCTGTGCAGGAGAGAGCGGCCGAGGAGGTGACCATCTCCCATCTCCCACGAGCCGCCGAGAACTCTGACCACCACATCAAGCGGACCCGGACACACGAACAATTTGCGGCGCCCGCTTCGATCGCAAACCAGCCCTCGCCATAGAAACGTGGAATTTACACCGCTGATGGAGGGGGGCAGGGGGGAAGGGGTGGGAGACGAGCGAGGCTCCGATCTTCCAAGAGCACGGCACACTTGTTGACTTTGCCCGGCATCACCGTGCCCTCTCACCGTGGTTGTCTGAATGTACATTGAATTTATTTTGCCAACATAAGTGTGGTTGGGGCGAGCGGTGTTTGGGAGCCCGGTCAATTATTCCACTGGGCGTGGGGTTTTCTCGCGGTTGTGCTGTTCGGCTTCTCCGATGCGTGTCTTTTTGGGGTCTTAATTTTTTGGAACTTAATTTGTTCCTGCAGAAGCTCCCAGCACGCGAAGCGTCCGACGTCCTGCCGAACGAACAACTCATGGCACAAACCCAAAAGAATCCCCACCTTATTGGAGAGCTGGCTACAAACTACAAATAGCCTGGCACTCATTCACGGCCTCGGCCTACTGGACTGGCTGATTGTAGCAACACCCACGAGGCGATGCTCCACTATTTAATTCTCAATAAATTCATGATTGAGCTGATACCCAAATCGACAACGACAAAAAAATCTACACGTTCGTCAATAACGCTGTGGCCTTTAAAAGGAAAGAGTATACAGTCGGTTTGTGACGTTTTGCGCAATGGCACTTGGGAGGCCAAAGATGTAGAGTGATTATTATTATTATTATATACTTCATACTTTTCCCTTTTTAAAGGTAGTGCTATTAACGAATGTATCGACTTTTTGTTGTTGCCGTTACTTGTGCTTGTACACAGCTGCCAACGCAGCAGCATCGCAAAAAAATGTGGTACGCATAAGAGATGCATCTTGAAAAAAAACCCGTGATAAGCCGAAACATCTGGCTGTGCAGAAAGCTTTACGCGAGAATGTGCATCATTAAGTTAGTTCACTGTGTGGCCATCGGTGGGGAGATGATACAATTGCAAGGTGTCGGACTGAAGCCAGCACGTGTTACCGTTAATGTATTTATGGATTATAAACATTTGCTCGGCACACCTCTCGTGTATTTAGCCGAATGCCGTTGCACGCGACTGCGAAGTCGGAGCAACAGATGCGCAGCAAGTAACAATCGGTGAGCTGCTCTGAGTGGACTTGGGCCCACGTAGCCCACGGAGTCACCGCGGCAGCCTCCTCCTCCTCCTCCATGCGCAGGGGGCAGCCGTCCCGAGAGGCCCCGGACCATTTCGTCGAAACGTCACAGCCGGAGACGAAGATGTTGTGACATAGCCGCCTGCTGTGTGTGTATGTTGAATTTCTTTCGCACCGTACGTAGCCAACCGTGCTAATCGGAGGTGCGAGGGAAGGACAAAAAAAAACACAAAACAGTTCTGAAGAAATGAGTTTTCAATCGAGATGACTTCAAATTGCACGGCTCCAGTGGCTTCCTAATGTCGGAAGGAAGAGCGTTCCAAATGGCTGCAGAAGCACACCTGAAAGCGCCACGCGACGCGGTGACCGACTTTGTTCGATGGCCAGCAGCTGCCCACGTTCGCACCGAGGGCAGCTGTTGCAGGAGAGGCCCCGTCGGTGTTTGGAAGCTGCACGCAAGCCCGCGTTGATAGGCGGAAACCGTTCAACGGAACCCGCTCATGGCTAGAAGTCCGAACCCTTTCGATAGTGGATATTAATTCACGGGAATTTGTCATTTTTGAAAAGTGTTTTTTTTTCTTCCAGCGCGCTCTGCATCCTCCTCTGTCCAAAGGTGCGCCGACGTGAAACCGGGGCCAGCGTTCCATGACGGCTAGAGGACACCATCGGCGTTGCATAACCGCTTTGCGAACAGGGTCTTTGGTATGGACAGCGGCCTTGTCTTGCGTAACGCTTCCCACGCGTCGCCGATCTTCAAAGGGCGGAACAGACGCAAGTGACGTGAGGCTGCCCGTTCTGGACTCCAGGGTCGGACACGGCTGCACAGTTAATCCACAGACTGAGCAATGGCCTGTGATGTTGTCAGGTCTGGCGATGCCACGGTCTGGCACGAGTGGGGCTTCTGCCATGGGACAAATAATGATCGTGACTCGCGTGATATTCGCGTGTGTCAAGATCGAAATTTGTTTTGTATCCGTCCAATTCAAAACAGACGTTTCTTAGACGCAAGAAAAAAAAACACGGGAGGCTTTTACATAAGAGGCATCGTTCATCGAATCGATATCTGTTAATGGACTGAAGACGAGTCATTGCAAAGGTTATTAAAGTAGCGTTTGGTGAAGACTAGAATTGAGAATAATACATCCAGATAACGAGTCTCGAGGTTCATTACGGCGTTCATTTGTAACCAAAGCAGTTATATTGTTGTCTTATTGTTTTTATTGTACGCATAATTTCGAGGCAATTGTTGTTGACGTGTTATTTTCTCTGCACTATATGACAGAAATCTACGGACGTTCGAACTCACACCAGCCCATGCAGTGCCTACCGTGTATGATGATTGAAATGTGCTTTACAATGCGCGGTTTGTCCTTCACCTGAACAAAACGGCACCGACAAATTTCCTAGCGCTCCTTCATCAGCCAGCAGCAGTAGCCATGTTCTATCCACTGCTGGATGAAGGCCTCCCTAACGTCGTCGTCGTCATCCCTCTCTCGGCGATCCAACGATCCGCGCGGCACCTGCCACCCCCCAAAGGGCTCGCTCCTCCTGCACCCGGGCTGATTTCGTCATGTCGTGTTTGGGAAGACAAAGGCGTCCGGGGATGGTGCTGGTGCCAGCCACCCAACGCCCCTCTCTCCCACACCTAGTGTAACGTCCCGGCCTTGATAGGTGCTCGCCTTCAGCATTTGCCCCTAACAGTCTCGATCGGTTCAAACGTGGGAGCTTCGCGCGTGGCGTGTTGATTCTGCGAATAGCGTGGCTCTCGCGCTCGAAAGCCCATTAATGGCCGGGATCAATAACACCAGCGAGCGATGGTGAAATCAACACCCAGAGAACGTTGCGCAATAGTTTCCAACCGCGTTAAGATGCGCACCGCTATTTGCCCAACCACGCCGAGACTCAAGAATTGATGGTGTTGGTTAGCGTTGTCGTGGGCATCGTAGCGGCTTCCAGCGGCTGCGTAGGGACCACGCGAATTCAACGGACGGACGGCGTGAACGTCGTTAAACGATCGGCGGCCAAGCGCAATTCGATGCATAGAGGAGCCTCATTTCAATGGACGAATCGATGATTCCATTGGTAGGTGCCTTGCTTAGGAGGTGCAGAACTCGCCGTGTGGTCCGGATTTACAAGACGCAACCACCGTGGTGGGGGGGGGGGGGTCAAGGGTGTTGAGGTTCAACCCCCTTCTGCATCACGCGGTGGACAAAAATAAGAATCGCATCAGATGGAGGGCATCGGAATCATTCTCGGGAAGCTAAAAGCGACTGCCGCCGAGTGTCCGAATGGCCCGGTTCGTGATGGTTACCGAGTTCCATACCGTGTCAACCCATACGGTTTACCCCGTATTCTTGTACAGGGAAATTGAGTTTTCAGGTTCATACGGCGTACAGCCGGTTCAATACGGCCAACAATTTTATTTTGTCTATTTGTGTTGCGTTTCTCCCTTGCGATGGGACTTTGTAGGATGAACGTTGACATTTAGAAGGGGCACGGGGTGACCAATGGGGTCTAAATTGGTCTGTGATAAGGTCGGGCACTGATGATGAGTGGTTGACGGGTTATTGTATTCAGTAAGACTCAGCCCCACGCGTCCATGAAGCGATGTGAGTCTGTGCTCTTTCTCACACACGGCGACCGGATCGTGAGACGCAACCCGAAGTTTTGCTTTAAAATACTCGGACAGGGGGGGTAAGTTGAGGGAGGGGGGGTAGGTTGAGGGGGGGGGGCAGGTTAAGGGGGGGGCAGGCTGAGGGGTGGGGGGGCGTCTTACACTCTGGAGAGTGTGCGGCCCGGCGAACACGTTGAGCGGTGACGGTGTGTGTGTGTCTGTGTGTCTCTGTGTGTGTGTGTCTATGTGTGTGTCTGTGTGTGTGTGTCTATGTGTGTGTCTGTGTGTGTGTCTATGTGTGTGTGTGTGTCTGTGTGTGTCTCTGTGTGTGTGTGTCTGTCTGTGTGTGTGTGTCTGTGTGTGTGTGTGTGTGTCTATGTGTGTGTGTGTCTGTGTGTGTGTGTGTCTGTGTGTCTGTGTGTGTGTCTGTCTGTGTGTGTCTGTCTTGTGTGTGTGTCTGCGTGTGTGTGTGTGTCTGTGTGTGTGTCTGTCTGTGTGTGTCTGTCTTGTGTGTGTGTCTGCGTGTGTGTCTGCGTGTGTTGCTGGCTGTCGTTATTACCTTCTTGTCTTTGCTCACAAATGACAAAATTAAATAAAAACATGCAAGTAGCAAGTTACCCGACTTTATTTGTTGTTATGCCGTAAAGAGAATCATCGTGGTCAATATCACTGAATAATACTGCAGCTCTCTCTCACTCGGGTGTCTTGTCGCATCGCAGGATCGTGGCAATTTGTGGAGGCCTTCACCCAGCAGTGGATTGACCAAGGCCGATGATGGACAACGATTAGTTTAAGGGCGCTTTATAAATTTAAATTATTAGTATTATTGAGAGCTGGTGACCGAGCTGAGACGATACTAAAACTGGCTAAACTTGACAACCCGGTTGAACCAGGGGCGGCTAAAAAGAAAACACCTGAACCCCCCCCCCCCCAGGTTCACCTCTTCAAGATTCCCAGCGTGACATGAGAATAGTTTCTGCTGTTGTTGTAAAGACCCCAAAGTTGATCTTCTCTACTCCGTGGGGGAGTGGGTGGTGGGTGGGGGACTTTCACAAAAAAATTAATTATCCCCGAAAATAACGAAACACACCCGAAATAATTGACACAAAAATAAAGGCGCTGATGGGGGCTTTAGGATATTTTTTTTTGCATTTGAGGATAATTACATTACAGCCTCACCCCTTAAAATCCCTCTACTAGGACATCTGTGAAAAAGAGCTTTATAGGTCATCGGATTCCTACAGTATAGGCCCTCCCCGCGATGTGTGCGCGTCGTGGGAGTCGATTGATCCCACTTCACCGCGTTGATCAGTGGGGGGTATTAAAGGGGTACGAATTTTTAGTTTATGTGTGGGGGGGGGGCACCGATTCTGGTGGCCCCCCTCCCCCACCTCGTTGTTTCCTCTCCTATCTCTCGTCTCTGTCTCCCATCTCTCATCTACACCCCCATCCCCTCTCTGTCTCGTCCATCTCCCTGCCTTCTATCCTCTTATCTCCCTCCCTCACCCACCTCTTGTCTATCGCCTCTCCTATCTCGCTTCCCTCCGTCTCACGTTAAAACCTCCCCACGCCTGTCCCAGGGCTCCCCCCCTCCTCTCGCCGCCTTGGGCAGACACATGCGAGGGAGGGAGGAAGGAGGCGAGGCTTGGGCCACGTCATATTGCGGAAAAGTTTGAAGCTGCGTAACGCGCAAGAGCAGAGCCGGGCAAGCTGCGAGTGAGAGCCACGGGGAGAGAGAGAGAGGCAAGACAGAGAGAGGCAAGACGGAGAGAGAGAGAGAGAGCCACGGGGAGAGAGAGAGAGGCACGTAGCAAGAAAGAGACATTAGCCGGAGACAACCAGAGAGTCGGTGAGACGAGACGGAACCAGAGGTGACACCGAGAGCGCAGCGACACACACGCGCTCACAACCACGCGGGGAGAGGAGAGAAGCGAAAGAGACGCAGAGTGAAGATCGCATTCGTACACAGAGAGTGAGAGAGAGAAACCCGTAGAAGACGGAGGGAAACCACAGAGGCAGAGACGCGAAAGAGGACCGCAGAGAGAGGGAGATAGGCGGAGCGAACGCACTTGATCTCACCTGAGCTCACCTCGTGGAAGTAGCCCCCGAGATTTACTCCCAAGCTCAAGTCACCGCCGCGCATTCGAGCAGCTGCACAGGTAAGTGGGTGGCTGAGAGGTTGAGTGAATGAGCCAGTGAGAGGGCGGAGTGGGTGACTTGGAGTGCGCGGGTGAGTGAGTGGATGAGTAGCTGAGTGAGTGAGGTGAGCGGATGAGAAGGTGAGCAGACTAGGGATGGTGGTGTGAGTCTTCTCTCACCGTACAAACACGAACTTCCTCGCGCGCTCACCCATTCACGTACACTGCTGTCACCCACACTGCTTTCACCCTTCCATTCATTCACCCTCGCATCCACTCGCCCTGTCACCCCATCCACTCACCCTCTCATCCATTCACGTGTTCACTCATCCACTCACCCACTCACCGACCCACTCACTCACCCACTCACCCATCCACGTATTCACTCATTTACCCTGTCACCCCATCCACTCACCCACTCACCCATCCACGTATTCACTCACTCACTCACCCTGTCACCCCATTCACTCAATCTCTCACCCATTCACGTGTCCACTTATCCACTCACCCACTCACTCACCCTGTCACCCCATCCACTCACTCTCTCACCCATCCACATATTCACTCACCCACTCACCGACCCACTCACCCTGTCACCCCATCCATTCACCCTCTCACCCATCCACTTCTCATTCACCCGCTCGCTCGGAGTTGTGGTGGCGAGTGGTGTTTTCGCAATGTGGTGTGAGGTGTTCGTTACGCAACCGCCTGCCCGGTTTTCCGTGTCGTCGTGCAGACAACTACACGATGATTCGATGCCCCAGCAACAGAGCAAGTAACAACACCAGCAACACCAACAATAGCACCTCTACAATGCACAGCCCCCGGTCAATACACTGCTGGATGAAGGCCGCCCTGCCCCACTTATGCGGGGATTGCTTGACCATACTTCACCACGCTGGTCAGTGCTGGTTGACGATGAGAGGAGGGTGCCCAGCATCGGTTTGGATGATCGACACTCTGCAAGCTGTTGTTGCTGTTAGACGTGCCCGATCATCGAATGCAAGTCGCCGGCGACATAGCAGCGGATGTACTTAACCATTGCACCAACGCTCCGGACCCCAGATAGAAAGTAGAACAAATGGACGTGGTAAATATTTAATGGTATCGCTTATTAATGCCATAAATCAAGACTCCCTTGCTGGGTTCAGATCTTCGAGTCAGACGGCCAGAACGCGTTGATGTGCTTGCTAATGAGTGAATGTTCCCATATCGCAGATGGTAATAACACCTGAGTTCCGTTCTGGGCCACGGCTAACATCAGTGGCGAATGATACCTGAACCGCTCCTGGGCACAACCTCCCTTCACCAACCCGCATTGATCAGCTTGGTGAAGTATGGTCAAACAACCATGTTCGTGGCAACAATTCCCATCGTACATCCATGGCCCTCTCAAGCTGAACATCGCTGAATGAGCTCGAGATCAATTTGAGAGTGCTAGTGTTTTGGAATATAATCTTGTATCTTTTGCCCGTATGCAATGACTATACATAGCAATGGCTTGATCCATCAAAGCCTCATTGAGTTTTCAGGAGTACTGCAATGGGGTGTTTGACAATTGCATCACTGAGTAAGAACATTGCCTTATTACCTTATGTTTGGTATTTCCACATCAGGATCAATGTTATTCTAGTCTATCCACCTAATGGGTTTCCAGACTTGTGCGAACCAGGGGCATTTATTTAGACACCCAAACTGTGGACTGACTTCGCCTTTCTGCGGATGATCAGCAGTGACAGCCCCGATGAACAAATATTTATGGTTTACCGGATGCTCTCATTTGACGCTTCAACACAGGCGCGTACTACAGTTTAGAACAGGTTGATTTTATTGGGGGATGTAAACAGTTTTAAAAACAAAGTGTCAGACCCCAACATCTTTCGTGGACGAATTGAGGGTGGAGGGGGAGGGGGGATGGTGGGGGGAGGGGCGACCTCCCCCACCGCTCGAGGTCCGAGCGTATGGAGGGGGAGCACCGCTGTGATGTCACCGCTATGTGAACTGGTAAACAGAACGAACAACGATGGGATTGGACATCGGCTTTGGTGGTGCCACGAGTGGTTGTGGCGTCAGTCGTACGCATGTACGTTGAACTTCTTTCGCACCGTGCGTAGCCAACCGTGCTAATCGGAGGTGCGGGGGAAGAAATGACAAACGAAACATAAAAAGCAGTTCTAAAGAAATTAGTTTTCAATCTGGATTTTAAAGTGCACAACTCCCAGTGGCGTCCTAATATAGGAATGAAGAGCGTTCCAGACGGTCGCGGAAGCGCATCTGAAAGCGCCACGCGATGCAGTGACCGTGTTGCTGTCTGTAGTGGTACTGGTTATGGTGGTAAGCGTTGAAAGTGATGGTGGCTGTAGCAGTGGCTTGCATTGGTCGGTGTCTGTGATTGTGGCGGTGATCGTGGTACCAATAGTGAGTGTGGTGGTGTCTTTAGTGGTGATGGAGTTTCCATTCGAGGTTACAATTTGAGGAATAGGTTACGTTTGTGTCGTTCGTATGATGCTGTGTATACTGCGATGCCCGTCGCTTAATTTTATGAATTTTGGAACAACGGTTTATTTATTTTGGCTTGACCCTTAACCTAGAAGGGGTGCTGAGCGATGCAGCTCACAGATCGGCAGGAAGACCGTGGGGTTATTTGTAAGCAGCGAGTGCATTCATGTGTCAAGTCATTGTTGTTCACGTTCTCGGGTTTTGTTTTATGGGAAAAAATATACTTTTTATTTTGTAGTTTAGTTTCATTTTTGTCCACTCGCGTCTTTTTGAACCTCCACCCCAGCTCCAGCGCTCGTTTCCCCACATCGGCCACATCCTAACGCTGCAAGAGTCCAATCTACCGCATGTCCATAACGTAACGGGAATTCGATTCCTGGCCATTGCTAACATCGCTGGCAAATTATATCCGAACTGGTCATGGACCTCACCCCCCTCCCCCCTTCACCAACCATCATTGATCAGCGTTGTGGGGAACGGTGGCGTAGCAGTTAGCGCCCCGTGCTACGAACCCGGCGACCCTGAGTTTCGATTCTGAACCGGTCCTGGGCCTCCCCTCTGTCACCTTAGCCTCAAATGAGTACCCGGTGCGATGTGTTATCATCGCCACTGGGGAGACAAAGTCGGCCGGCCGAGGAGTTTACTGGGGGGGGGGGTCTTTGGCTCTGATGGCCATGGTGGTGTCATTAGTGGTTGTGTCGTCAGTAGTAGCAGTTTTGTTGGTGTCTATAATGGTTCTGGTTCTGGTGGTAAGTGTTGAAAGTGGTGGTGATGGCGGGTGTAGTCGTGGCTTGCATTGATCGGTGTCTGTGTGTGGTGGTGGCGGTGAGTGTGGTACCAATAGTGGTTGGGGTGGTGTCTTTAGAGCTGGAGTTTCGATGAGAGGTTACGATTAGATTGAAGGACAGATTATGTTTGTGTCGTTTCCATAATATTCTGTCTTATCTCCGTTAGACATAAGTGCAAGGGTGACATAAATCGTAAAACGTCAATTCCCACGCGCATCATTCTACGTGCATGCATGGACATCGATTGTTACGGAGCTAATCGTCTATATAAATGTTTGGACATACGACTCGGCGAGAATAGTTGATCAAAGTGAGGCAGCTGATTCAAACTTGGAGGTGTTCAGAATATTTTGAAGGAGCGAGGTCCCGTGGGTGGCTTAGGTCAGAACGATGAGCTGGAGCCCACAACATGCTGAGTTCAAATCCTAAAGTTTCAGCAGCTTGTCATGAAACTGGGTGTTCTGGTGTCGTGAGTTCATGGTTCTAGCCAAGCCACCACAATGACTGCGAAAACAACAAATATTAAAGTTGGTAAAACCCACTTAGTTTTTCCTGCCACTCCCTTGCTGTAAGGTTCAAAGGATCACTTTGAAAGGATTTGTGGTATTCACGTATGTGAGCCTGCACGCGAACACGAGGAGTCACACTGCCGTGCGAGGTGGTGGTTTCCCCAATGGATTCTCCGTCGCGCGCGTGACACGAGCTAAGAGAAAAAACAAGAAGGCAACATATTTTCAACAATTCTTGGCACAAAATAAACAAATAAATGAAAACCAATGCGTGATCGCCACCGTTGTGACAGCGATGCCCGAGGGAGCGGTCCCGTGACTTGGGTGGGGATAGCTGTTTTCCTCGACAAATAGTGTCGCTCGCATCTGAGCGTGAAATGTAAAATTAGAATCTCGTTTCACAATGAGTTGAGCGAGTCGTGGGGTCACGAGTAGCTGGGTGAGAGGTGGTGATGCGAGGGGGGGGGGCTGTAGCGGTGAGCGCTACGCTGCGAACCGGGCGACCCGAGTTAAATTCCCTCCCACGGCCAACACCGGTGACGAATTATCAGAACTGATCCTGGGCTTCCCCTAGGTCGACTCGGCCTCAAATGAGTACCTGGTGCGGTGTGTCCACACCCCCGCCAACCGAGTACCGTGCCGGCGTTCATAACAGCACTTGCCCCAACAGTCTATCCAGGCTGTACGGGTGAATCTTTGATCTTCTGTCCGTCACTCAGTGCTATGGGGGGGGGGGGGGAGTGGCTCATGGTTGCACCACCAACGCAGCGATGCTCCTTCGTCAAAACCCAGTACAGAGAGATTGTGAAACTTGACGTGACGCCGTGACAAATAACTTCACGTGCACACACAAAGGTCCACACAGTGTGTGTGTCCTTCACATACCGTTGTGGAAAGTGCTGTTAGCGAGCTCCTATGGCAAGTAATACCCGCATGGCATGTCGCGCTTGGGTCTGGTATGTACGCAGAGCTGGATTTATCGCTCAATTTTCGGAACAGCTGCTGGGGAGGCTGGTCTTGCAAGTGGGGAATGTCGGCGTAAGGCACTACCACTAGACTACAAGGTGCGGCTATCCACAATCCAGGAACCAGACATTATTGCACCCAATGTTCCCATCGCCCGAGGGAGATGAACACTCATGGCGAACATCAGAGACGGTCGTCTGGACCAGTCCATGGCCTTCCCCGAGGTTGACTCGGCCTTGCAAGGAGTACCCGGTGCTGT